CGTTAAAGTTTAAAAAAATTTAACGAATTTTTTGTTATATATCGTTAGTAATCACTAACGATAATAATCGGCAGGGGGGTTGTATATCGATTGTAATCTAGGGGATTACTATCGATATATAGCACCTTTTAAATTTTGCTGATGAATATAGATAAAATTTCTTGTGGCGGGGCTATAATAAAGTTTTCCCGGTCCTACTACAACATTACGATATTTATTATATTGTAATTTTGTGATATTGAACATTTTTATAATTTTCAATATTTCTGACTTTTTAAATATAAATTTGACAATAAGTTGCAACCCCAGTTGCCCATATTAAAGATGTAATTAATATTTACAGCAAGCAATATTGCTCTAGACATATAAATACCGATTGGCACTTTACAATGTCAGTTGAAATCAAACAAATTGTTTTTAGTAAATTTTTTTAAATCTTTAAATATCAATAACTTAACAAAAACTTGATTAAATTTTTCTATAAGATTGTGAGTTTATTTAAAAAAGTTTTTATTAAACTTCATTAAGTTTTTGTTAAGTTATTTTTGTTGTTTAAAGTTTTAAAAATTTATTTAAAAATTATTTCATTACGAAAAAACATTGTGGATTTAGAAGGTACCTTTGCCCGATCACTATTTTATTTTTTCAAGGCAAAATTATTTCGCATTGTGAAACATAAAAAAATTCATTTTTTGTTAGCATCAAAATTATTTATGAATTTGAAAAATAGCAAGCACGATCACTGGTACTTGCGTCTATTTATTGTTAATTGATGATAATTATTGTTTTTTTTTTCTTTTTATATTTACAATTTTCTAATTTAAAATTTTATATGCGTAGTGTATATAAAGACTTAAAAGTTTAACCATATGAAATAAAACATAATTATAATTTTACTATATACCTAAAATGATTATATACTTCTTACATATTCTATTATTAATACCGAATTAATTACTTAGTCACTATTCGAACGCCATATTTATAGTTTAAGATAATAATAGAACGTGTTACACGATTTACAATAGTTTGGGGATATGCCTTATTTTTGTGAATTTAAAATAATCACCTAGAAGTTCGAAGTTTGTAAAAAAACGAAAAAAACGACAAAAAAAGATATGAAAAATTAAAAGGAGTAATAAAAGTAATTCCGTTTACTTTTTTTTTCTTTTTTGATAATGCCAATTGCCAATTACGATTGTATGCCACAGTAGTATTCGTATTCGATCAAATTACGAATAAATAGTTGATCAGTTAAAATCTTCGGCAGGGAAATTATGTCCGGCAAAATTTCCCATAGGAAAACCATAACTTACATGACCTTCTGCAGGAATATCAACAAACTCGACAAGGGGAATATCAAAAGTTTCAAACTGTTGATGTTCTGGTTGAGTGTCTTGAAATGTTATTTGGTCTTGATAAAATACCTGAGGATCTTGTAGTTGTTGAAAAAATCGAGGATCCTGAGGATCCTGATTTATTCCCGGTTGAAAAAATTGAAGGTCCTGATTTATTAATTGTTGAACATGCCGAAGTTGAAAAGGCTGTGGATGAAATTGATGCGGTTCCTGTGATTGTCTAGATCGATCATTTTCGGTCATCATTTGATAAACCGGTGATTGGGGTGTGCCTCCAGGTTGTTGATGTACAAATGTGTACTCAGATATTGTTGAATTATTATTTCTTTTAGTACGTTTTTTTTTTTTAGGTTTGGCTATCTTTTTTTGAATGGACTGAATTGTTGAATTCTTGAACTTGTGATTTTTCGTATTTTTCGGATTTTTCGACATAATGAATTAATCGTGTGCCTTTTTCCTTTGTCTCATAACCACCTATTTATAAGAATTTTTTACAAAGAGATATGGTAAATGTTATGAAAAATTACTTTATTAAAACATTTCTAAATCTGATAAAGCATAATTGGTATTATAAGTTTAAATATACGTTGAATATCCATATAAGGTAATTTGTAATTACAAATCTGATATTACCCTATTTAGTAAAATTAATAGATCTGCAATATCTATTGAACAACGGAAACGAACCAACATTTAACGTTTAAAGAATATCCTTAAGATAGCAAATGAGCTTATGTAGAATTTATATTAGAGATGTTTTTACTATATTGGCCCAATTTAATGATAATAATACTTGTTCAAAGAGCAGATTGCAAAAAATAAACTGAAAACATTGATAGTCATTATGCTTCGTAGCACCAGCACGGATTAACAATGTAACACATTAACCGCCTAAAAGCCTAAGAAAATCCATTTTTGTCTACTTACTAAAAAGTCTATTAGCATTTTGATGCATTTTCTAAGTAAACAATAATGCATACGTAAGTATCTTTTTTTGGTGTTTATGTCGGATTAACTGGTTACCAATAAATATCGGGGTGCCAATAAAGTTACTTCGGAAAAGTGTTTTACCGCAAATGAGTGGCCATAAAAAAAACATCAAAGCGTAGTAAAATTTTCATTTGCAATATTCAAATGAGTTAAAGCCATATACAAATAAGATTACACTAACAATACCGCAATTTAAGGAATTAATGTAAAAAATTGCCAAGAAATCCTAATTATCCTAATTAGACAATTTTCAAGATATCTTTATTAAGAAAATTATAGTTAATTTACTAATTTCACTGGTAATATTTTCCATGACTAATGCTATTTACATCAAATTCATAAACAATACTGCAATAACTTTTACAAGGCGTATTAACGGTCTTGTATCCCTATTAGATGATTGAGCGACAGAGGAAGACGACTCACCTGAATTCAGTTGATATCCAACTCCTGTATTTATGATTAGAAGGGTTATCCATTTACCTGTTTGGATAAAGCGGCTTTCATCTGTATCTATTTATTTGTCTACCGACAGTTATTCGAATGAACCATATAATTATCGCGCAAATATTTATGATCACGACAGGCCTAAATTATTGTAAGTGAGGTTGTCTAAAGCCTTGTAGTATTTATATGTGTCACTTGAATTTAATTTACAATTGATCAGTAATCAATTCAAAAACTACCTGGCTTTAGACTATCTCCTTTTAGAGAAATTGGATATTGTTTCAATTTTATTTACTACCATACTTCCATTACTATTGATAAATTTTTATCATGAGAACATCATTTATTCCATGTTATTCCAATATCACCAACAAAACTCTTCATAGCCAATCAAAATTCAATTTTTAAAAAAATTTTCAGTTTCCGAAGACTAGCATATGATAAATAGGAGATTTGATTGGCCATATCCATTTGTCTTCGATATCTACTATCGACACTTTCTCAATTTTTTTATGATAATAACTACTATTACTTGAATTTTAATTAGTTTCTTGATTAGATACTTTATTTGTAATAATTGTGAAGATGGTTTATTAGTCGCGTTAAGTAAAGAGATGAATTTGCCTATTTGAAGCTGAAAGTTGATATGGATAATATGATAGTTACTATTTGTGGGTAGAGCTTGGATTCGAGTTGACTCGAGTGACTCGAGTGACTCGAGTTAAAATTTTATAACTCGAGTATTTACTCGAGTTAATTGTTAACTCGGGTTAACTCGAATCAATATGCTAACTCGAGTTAATTCGGATCAAAAAATAGACTCAAGTCAAAATATTAAAATACTAATCTGAGCAAATTTTGAGTTAATATTTTGATTAATGTGCATGACAATCACTATAAAAAAAATGTCTTTTTATTATTGCTTTTTGGAATTGCATTAACTAAATATGTTATGAACGCATTACTATATCGGTATTTACTGTAGATAGTACAAATGGTGGAGGAAAAGTATCCAGATAATTTAAAACCTGATTAATTATAAAATTTAATTGTATATCCGGTATTTATTAGCTGGTCAGGACAGCCACCTCAAAGAACACTAATAACGACATCACGATCGCAGCTGTCACAGCATAAAATTAATTGATTAATTGATTGATTGATGCTGCAGGTTACATTGAGATTAGCGAATTTTGGGAATTGAAAATTAGTGTGACACATGATGAATTTTGTGCAAATTTTGGTAATTATAGTAGAACAGGATGAAACCTGAGTTGTGATATAGGGCTGTAGATCATGTTAAGGTTTAATTGCTAAAATTTAATAAATTCTATTTTTCGAATATATAACTCAAGTCAGAAAATCTTAACTCGAGTTAATTGTTTACTCGAGTCAAATCGAGTCAGTTCGAGTCAAAGTTCAAGCACTATTGTGGGGTTAGGATGGGCTGAGTAAAAATATGTATAAGATGTTGGGTACCAAGATTTCATCAATTTGGTTAGATACATTGTCTTTTTGACAAGTAGATATATGGAGATAATAGATATATATTAAGGTTATAAAGTTGTGGGCTGTCAGATATTTGTATAGAGTTGAATTTTGGTTTTTGTTAAGGTCTAGATTAAAGTTTTTGAGAATTATAGATATAATATGAAGTCTACTATCTTGCTGTATCTAGTTAATAATTTGGTTATAAATTTTGTTATTGGTTATTATATAAGAGAAAAGTAAGTAGATATTATTCAAAGGTTGTTTTTGTAAAAAGAATATGTTAATTATAATTGTAAATTTAGAAAGTAAATAAATATTATAAATATGTTATAAGTATTGGTGTATTAGGATTGCTATACTAGTGCTTAATTTTTAGAGTTATTTGATATAAAGTATTTGTAGTAGAAGTTATATAACTAAAGTTTGTATATTTTGAGTATATTAGTTTAGTTTTAGTGATAGTAGTAATATTAAACTACTAAATCAAGTAGTAGTTAAACTATAATTGTCTTTTGGTAGTTTAGTTAAAATTTTGAATATTATGCATAGTAATTATAAGTAGTTTGAATATAATATTTGATATTTCTAATATTGATTCTATATACTATTAAGTTGTATTTATCAGATTTATATTGATTTTTAATAGTATAGTAGAGAAAACAGGTTTATTATTAAAAATATAGTATTTTTAAAAGGGTTGAGTAGAAATAGATTAAATAAAAGTCAGAAATACTTTTGATAATAAAGTATTAATAAGATATCTGCATAATAGATATTATTACTTTTGAAAAAGTAATTAGTAAAGTAAATTAAAGTTAGAGTAGTATTAATTTCAAAATATTATTAAATATAAACAATAAGGTTTAAATAATTGAGCTCATATTATTTAGTTTGTTGTGTCTTGTATCAAGAGTTGTAATATATTAATTAATATTGTAAGAATCTAAGAATCTTAATTTATTCTGTTAGTAGCTCTGTAAAGTAAAAAATATAGACAAAGTATCTTGATAGTATTGTAATTAATATTATAATATTATATTTTGCAATAATTTGTTTACAAAATAGCAGAGTAGATTTGTTATTTAGATTAGCTTGTATAATATAGCTAAAGATAATATATTCTGTATTTTGAAAGATTTTATAAATAAAGTTCTGTGTAATAATATTGTTAGTAATAGAAACTCAGATTGTATGCTAGTTTTAATATATAAAAGATTAAAAAAGTAGTTTAATAATAAAATAGTTATTTAAAAGTAGCTTAATAGACAATTTATTTGTTATTTGAAGAAGATCTGCAAATTTTTATAAGTAAATTTTACTATTAAGCCAAATGTGAAACATTTTAATTTAAAACTTTTTTTTACTAAATAAATTACTTTTGGCTTCTAACAAAGTTATAGAGCTTATCAAAATATATTAATAGTAGCAAAAATATTAAAATTAGATTTGTAGTTCTTGAAAAATCTTTAAAAAACTTTATAGTAACATATAAAATTTTTTTAAAAAAAATTGATTTTTTAAAGAAATTATATATATCAATAAAATGTTTTTTAAAGATTTCTTAAGAATCACAAGACTAATTTTAATATTCTTACTACTATTAGATGTGTCTTGATAAGCTCTACAACTTTTGTTAGAAGTTTAAGAGTAATTTATTTAGTAAAAAAAAGTTTTAGATTAAAGTGTTTTATATTTAACTCAATAGTAAAATTTATTTATAAAAATTTGCAAATTCTCTCCAGATAACAAATAGATTGTCTATTAAATATATAATATTGCTAAACAAATATAATAATTTTAGTTAAAAAAGTATTTAGAATATTAGATTATAAGAAAAAGTCTTTGACTTTAGAGTTAAGCTTCTAATAAATTATGAAAAGTAGTTGCTTAAGTAATAGTAATTAGATATATATTTTAAAAATAAAGCTAAATAAGTAATAGCTAGCTATTTATTGTACAGACTTTATAGAGTAGTAAGATATTTTTGCTATAAATATTATTATAGATTGTAGTAATTTTAGTATTTATATTATCATTTTTATTGTTTTTTTGTTCATATTAAATTTTTTTACTATACTATAAGAATAATTAGTAGTTTTATAAAATATTTAAATAAAATATAAGCTTTTGTATCTGTTTATATAACTTTAAAACTAGATCTAAATTATAGCTATAGGTACTTCTAAAAAACTTAAAATTGATATTTATAGTATTATATTTAGTTTATATAAGATTAAATAGAATTAACTAAATAAAATTGTTGTATTTGTATAATTATTGTGTAAGAAATTTAACT